ACTGCCTGCATCTGGGATGTGTGTTTATAAAATTAGAGCTAATAAAAGCTGTGACGTGAAGTTTTGGATGTCTCAATTTGGTTAAAGTTAAACTCTCAACTTTTACGTGTGTACAAGCATGTCGCTCTTTGCTAATTTCCCTCCAGTACTTATTTCTGAACTGCTCACATTTTTAATATTTTCATATGTGATAACTTCAAAAATGTTACTCACAGTTCATTGACTTAATTCACTGAACAGATTTTCCTGTAACTTTCGGTTACACAGTATCCTTTGTGGACAGGCCCATCAGTCACCAGTACGGAACAGAGAGAGGCTCTGATTCACGAAATGTGAATTTCCGACAGTTGCCACTTTTTTTAAGAAAGAACTTGAGCAATACGTGACTGATGCATTCTCACCCTGTTTTCGTGTTCTATCTGTCTTTCTGCCAGTGTATCCACCCTCCGTTTCTGAAAGTAGCTGGGGAAGAAAGTACTGAACACAGAGAAAGGGCAATTCCCAAAGAATAAATGACTGTTTAATTTCCACAGACACTCTCCAGTTGGTGAGGGGCTCACCCACCAGGATAAGCAAGGCCACTGCTTAGGTCGGGCAAATTCCCAAGATGCCACTTGACCTGATGGAGTAATGAGAAAGCCAGAACATCACTAATGGCCCAGTTCCATTCCCTGGGAACATAAGGAAGGCAGTTTATTCCACTCTAGCTAAGTTCAGCTCAGGTGCAATCTTTAAAAACAGTCTCAGATAAAAAGTCAATGAAAACGCAAATCCAACATTCCTCTAGTTGCAAAAAATTTTCTACATTCTGTATTTTCTATCAAGAGAAGAGGTCTTTTTTTGTGAGAGCCGGGGACACACACACACGCACACGGATGGACATGCTCTGATCCTTACAGTCATTGCAATAGGCTGGGTACTGCAATAACTCCATTTCACAGGCCTGGACTCCGGAGAAAGAAAGGTTTTTACAAGTTGCTTTACAATTATGGGTTATAAGGACATTTAAATAGTCCACAAGACTGGACATCCTAACGTTCCTATTAAATTGATAACGAGAGCATTAAACAGGTATCAAAGAAACATGTCCAGGTAGATAAGAATGACATAATAAGAAAAATGTAAATAAGAATTGTCTCTCTTCCTTAAAAGAACACCTGTTCTCCTGAATCCTAGAATTTTAGAGATGATGGGAACTTCACGTTTATTTAATCCAAACCCTTCATTTTATGGAAGAAGGAAAGAATGCCTGGAGAAGTTGTGACTTGCCCCAGATCACACAATTAATTAGTGACAGCTGTAGAACTAAAATGTGATTTCCGCTTTATCATTTCCTTGACCAGTTGTAGAAAAATTATAAGCCACTGATTTATTCCAAATTAGAAAGCTGCTCTGTTTCCTTTTTAGCTTCTGTTATTTTAGGTTTAAGTTTCCCTGCTTTGCACACTCTTGTTCAAGGAGTTACTGACTCAACCACAACTTAACCACTCTGGACTTGAGGACCACAAAGAAACCTGAGAAATCACAGACTGACCATTTTTATTTTCTCATCAAGAAGCGAAGGCCCAATGAAGTTCTGAAATTTGCCAGGGTAAAAGAACGAGAGTGTCTAGATAAGAGCCTGCATCCTGGTCTCCTTTTTTTCTGGTTCGGTGAACTTGACTGCAATGGGATCCATATCATGCCATTTTAAGCATTTAAAATAATTTTAAAAAATAGTTTAATAGCAAGACGAATTCTTTCACAAAGCAAATAATCACATTTATGTGTTTTCTTAGATTTGGATCTTCCGACTAGCATGTGTGTGAGTCGATAGGCTTTCCGCACAGTGCACATGTAGGCAATACATCATAGCCATCAAATACTGACATGAGATCCCAATTCTCCCTTCCTGTGGCCTAACATGCTCTTCTTTCGCCTCCCCAGCATCCTCCCTCTTGTCCATTCCCAAGTGCCTGCTAGTAAGGGACATAAAGACCATTATTATTTCCATTCTCTCTCCATACAATTTCCCCATTGATTCAGCAAGATTTTGGGGTAGGGATTATGGGCAGTATGACTTATGATAAACTTGCACTTTGCAAAACAACACACCATCTTAAAGTTTTCTTTTAAAGGGACTCAAAATTCCAGAACCGTAAAGAAGGCTAGAGAAATGATGCATGTTATTTTGGAGCATACCATAAGATGAGCAAGTTTAGATTCATCCTGGGTTTGAGCAACTAATTCTGATCCTATGCATCATCAAAGATTCCTTTATTTTTCCTCTTTGTTTTTCCTTCCCCTGAATGTATCTGCCGTTGAATCATGTCCATGCCATTCAATGATTAGCTCACTGTAATGAGGTCAGTGGGGAGCAACTTACTCTTGTTTGCACTGTTCCCAACAGCCGGAGAGATTATGATCATAAGTAATAATGCCCCAAATTATATTAATACTATGCTAAATTTTCCTTGAAAGATCAACAGTAGAGTAAGGTAAACAATTTTGCTGATGTTGCTGTCATTTCGATACTGATATGTGAACTACAAAAAATAATGGTGTTATTAATTTAATATGCACTTGGTAAGCTTTAATCAAATGATTAGTAAAATAACTTGACATCATGCACTATTGGACACTAACTGTTCAAGAAAGGTAAAACACACAGCACATTGCTTCCATCAGCGAAATAAAACTTGGAAATCTCATTGTGAGTGACCAATTCTGATTCTGTCAAATGGCTCATTGAGGCATTCTGAGTAGAAAAGACTGAAATGTCTTTGGTATATTACAGACTCTAAAATCAACCACAGGTCCAATACTTTAACACTCAAAAATCAAAAACAATTTAGTGTATCGAAAAGCATGGGCTTCAGAGTTATATTCAAATACCAGCTCCTACTATGTAACCTGAAAGAAGTTACTTGACCTCTATGTGCCTCTGTTTTCTTACCTTTAAAATGGGTATAATAATAGTTCGTACTCCCGGGATCTTTTTTTTTTTTTTTTTTTGAGGGTAAAATAAATTGAAATATATATATAAGGCTCTCAGAGCAGTGCTTGAGACATTATAAAGCCTCAATCAATACTCTCTACCATTACAGTGAAGCGATCTAATAATACAGTAAACCCAGTAAAATCGTTTTGCTTCTGCTTTCATAATGGCTTACTATACAACTGTATGATATCAACAAAGGATGAGTTCCCAATCACTGGACTGTTGCAATTCCTTCATGGCTCCCTCTGATCTTCATTATCACTCTTAATTTCTAGCCATTCATTGGCTTCAGACATCCCATTGCTCAACACAGAAAGGTGAGAATGCTCACATTTTCCATTTAGGCAAATGAAACATAGACTCAGAGTATACGTTCAATGATCATGCATGTGTTCATAACTTCAAATCCTCAATGGGAATACAACTTTCATCCCAAAAGAACATCAAGAATTTTAATGAAATAAATTATTGTAAATATATTTAAGGAGATCCGCGAAGCAACTTCAGACTATTTCTATATGCACTGTTTCCAACACGATACACTTTATATGCACGCTGAAGAACATTCACCGAGTGTAGATTATGAATCATCACAAACATTTGTCAAGCCCCTACGTCCATAGTGATGATGGCATCTGATAAAGTACCATTGTCAGAGATCTCCCGGAGCTAAAATGAAGCTGGTTTTTACTCTAAGCCTAATGTATTTTTAAATCAAACCACAGGGAAATAATTACTTTTGTTTCTATTCAATCAAGACCTGCACACAGAGTTTATGGAATGACATAATATCCTTCCTGAAATCAGACTGGTATGTAGGACCAGTATCCTTCACACATAACCAGTTCCTGAACCTTTACAAACAAATCCTAATTTCCAAGGAAACAATCTCATCAACTGCTACTCGCGAGAATACATATTGTTCCTTTTGGAAACATTACAATAAGATTTTCACGATTACAAACCCCAACTTCCCTTCTAAAATTCAATATAATCTTAAATTCATTTATTGAAGTGGAAATTGTATTTGTATAATGGCTCTAGAAATTGCTGGTAAATTTTGTATCGCCAATATAATAATTCAGTTATTTTTTTTGTTTCAGTCCAGGAGGGGTTGGTCATAAACTTTGTAAACTTATTGTGATCATGTGGGTATTACGTGCGTGTCTTTTAAATGAGCACCAGTGAGGGGCTTCCTGGGAATGTTCATTTTCGAGCTTCCACAGACCTACTGTAAGACAAGGAGCATGTTTTAACTATTGTTGGAGAATGACCAGTTTTAGTGATGTCCAGACTGTTGATCTACTTTACTTTTACTTATTAATTTTTTTTTTTGCAGAGAATAAAAAGGAACATCTAGCAGCTTGTAATCAATATCCTCTTCTTTCTGCCTCAGGAAGCTGGTACTTCTAAGCACAGGCCACAAGCTTTGTTTTGAATTTAACAGACACCTTTATCTTTACCAGAAAAACAGTATCAACAAATCAGAGGCAACTACTGGCATAAACATACAAATAGAGGATGCGGTTCTGGTTGTCAGCCCAATGGCCTTAAGAACAGAGTTCTAACTTTCCCTTGTCACTGACAGTGTTCTAAAGAATCTGGGCAGGGAGCAAGTCAGTCCCCTCCCACCCCCCAATTAAATAAACAAATGTCCAAGTTTTAAATGTGACAAGAGTGTGAACAACCTGCTGAAAAGTTCCTAAAATACACACTGAGTAAACCTGTCTGGTTTATTGTGTTGGCACACACAAATTTTGGAAATAGATGATACACCGTCCCAGCTACCGTGAAGTTTTCTGTGCACTTCATGTTGAGTTATGTGGCAGCTAAGTGCTGTCACTGTTTGCTTAAAACTGCTGCCTGAAGTTATTTCTAAAAGTTACATGCAGCGTGGCACAGAAATCCAATGTAGTGTAAAGTGAAAACAACAATGTAAAAAAAAACCCAAAAACTGGGTTAGCACGAAATAGAGACACAAATCAGAATTCGCAACAGCCTGCCACTCCCGGCCACTCACCTTGTTGAATTTTAGTCACTAGCTGATGGCGTGCTAGAATCCGGCTCATCCTGTAAGGAGAGCGTCTCGCAGTCTGATCAAATCGCAAGTACATCTCCTGGCCCTCAGGTGTCATGGAATTTAGATAGTAGCAGCCTGAAGCTGGGGTCCTGGGGCCCTGACTGAACATCTCGGCCACCTCAGTCTGCCCTGTGGCTGTTTCCGTCTGTCTCCAGTCTCAGTTAAAGAGCAAGGCACCAAGCCCAGCAGAGCTCCACAGACCAGGCGATTTTTAAAAAGAAAAAGGAGTGCCAAAAGCCACAACTCAGAATTCCAACCCCCGGCCTTCACGTGACCTCGGGCAGCCAATCCGAGGAAGCGAGGAGAAAGGGAACGGACACAGTCAGCCCGGAGCCCGAAGCCCGGCAGTTCCAGCGGCTGAGGTCCCCCCACGGTGCTGAAGGCAAATGCAAGCGTTTGCCATGCCCCCAGCGGACTAAGCGCCAAGAAGCAGCACTCCCTAAAAGAGTTAAAAAGAGAAGGGTAAAAGAAAAGGCTCTAGAAGAAAAATAAGCCCTGGCCACAGATTGCCTTTTCGGCTGTAAAAGTGAGAGAGAGCACATTTGCTTTTTCCACGGCAGCCGCCGCCAGGTAAAAAAACGGAGGTGATAAACGTCTTAAATGAAAAACGACTTCAAATAAGCATAAACAGCTGACTATGGTACCACCCTGCATTACAAAGAAATGAATCAAATAAAGCTCTTCCAGGGAAAAATAAACTTTCAAGGGCTTTAACACCCGGAGTAAAAACACTACAGATTCCTGACCTGCAGTGGGGAAGCCGAGAGCTCTTAGAGATGACTGGGAGAGGCAAAGGGCATAAGCAAGCATATTGTGAAGTATGTGTTCCCCTGTAATTTTCCTACTTCCCCCATTTTTAATCACCAAGAAACAAAAGAGTTATGAAGTACCTATCCCATTTAAGACACTGCTGGGAATTACTGTAAAGATTAGGGTTTATGCAAAGGTACTGTCGTCAAGCTGAAGTTATACAAAAGCTTAAGGCTTTCACAAACCTTAGGTAAAAGGTGTCTCAAAAAAGACACGAAGACAATGTTGGGGAAGCAATGTTATTTTTGACTCTGGTGATCACAGCAGGCCAGAAGGAGAAGACATTCCAGTGGGCTTTAAAAAAAAAAAATGGGTGGGATTCCAACAAGCAGAGGCAGAGGAGGGCTTTGCAGGAGGGTCTCTGCCCACGTGCGGAGATCGGGAGCCAGAATGTGTGTTTAAGGAAACTGTGAATAATTCAATTTGGCCCTATCTGAGTATTCATATGGGAATAATTAGAATCCCCCCCCATTTTTCTTCTTTAATATTATTTGATGTGAAGAGAAAAAGTCCATAGAAAACATTACTGAATTCTGAGCCTGGGGCTAAATGAATAAAGTTCTTTGAAAAAGAAACATACGGCCAAGCTGTTCTTACATTCAGCTGACTTAAACTGAAACATAGCTTGGCCTGCGATTTATAGTCCTCATGACGAAAAAACTCTCAATTAAAAGTTTAATGGGACATAAACTAGGACCCCAATTCTCGTTACTGTGGCTAGCGGTGGTCAACCCTAACACCTTTCCCTGCAGGAACTTTTGCTGGGCCGATTCTGACTGGGAGCTCATCTCGCACAACTACCCTACTCCGTAAATGAACAGAGCCGAGAGTAGAACACACTATCTCTCATGGCAGTTGTGAGCCCATCCTGATAACTATGCCAGAGCGGCCAAGTGTTAGGTTCTCAACAGCATCACAGTAGAAAAGGAAAGATCTCACTGGGCTGTATTGTTCTCTTTCCATTCTTATTTAGGGTTTGGTCAGAGTTTTGCTGTTCCAAGGCATCTTTTGTGGAAGGTGACAGGGATCTAAGGTCTAGTGACTCTGGTATACCAACAGCCCGGGGTTAGCACTACACTTCAACATTAGATGCCTGTAGGGCTCATTCCAAGCTCAGATCCAGCACTGGTTGCCATCTGATGGAGATGCTAGTGTCAGGTACTTTGTGCACGTGCTTTTGTTCGGATAGTCCAACATTAGGGACATCCCTGCTGTTACACAAACATGTGTTCAAGCCAGTCACCCAGCACTTCCCACTTTTCCACTGGGAGAGAATGTAAGAAGGATGGAGAGAGAAAGAAGACCATGGAACTTAGGAGGAACTTGGGCTATGTTCCAAAAGTCAAGCAAAGGGAAGGAAAAGGCAGGAAATAATATCTCGTTGTTTTATAGCTGTGAATAACACTTAAAGATTGGCCATTCCCAATGCCAACCTGGTAGTTCATTAGCGACTTGGCTACATTTTAAAAATAAATGGAATGATTCTCTCTGAGAAGTACTGCAGTGTATCATGGCCAGTTTAGTATTAAAAAAAAAATCACAATGCCTCCCTTCTGCATTGAAAGTCTTGAGGTGTTTTGTTCTGAAAAAGTCACTGACTATGTATCCTTTGACATATAGGTAAAGATGTATCCTTTGATATATACATAAAGAGATGCAACAATACGAAGCATAGTATTTCATAGGAGAATGGCAACGAAGAACAAGAGTTAAATGTAAGTTAAGAAAAAAAGGGAAATTTCTATTCCCTGATTAAAAGAAAGACAACTTAGAATAGAGCCTAATTTTTCTAAAAGTCAGTGTATGTTTTAATAAGGGGATCTACGAAGAATTATGTAGTGGCATTTCTGTCTCTAAGTTTTCAAGTAGTAGCTATAAATCCATGCAACTGCTCCCCATGTTTTTGCCATTTCAAATGTCCAAAATACCATATTTAAAGCAGATAAGTAACACTGCTTTCTTACTAGCACCCTTAATGCCTTGTTTTATGCTAATGTATTGCTATGAAACCCATGCCTTTTTAATGAATGTTTTCTCATTATTTGGTCCTAGTGATCACATAATAACCACTGTTCTGTTTGTTGTAAATGTAGAAGCGAGAAACTGCTGATAATCTATCTTCCCTGGGCTGATAAGGTCGTCCATGCATCTAGTTGAGAGAACTCTTCGTTTTCACTGGTGAGTGAGTGAGCACCCAAGAAATCAGAGAGAGGGAGAAAGTGCTGAAAACCCAAGTGTATCTTTCAAGATTGATGCTGGATTCCTTCCTTTCCAATTCCTTTAAAAATGAAGAAAATGGATGGCACTAGCTTGTAGTTTTCACCTCTTTTCCTCTTTCCTACTTTGGTCAAGAGCTATCCTCACTCATATTATTTCAGGGATGGGATAAACAGATGAATATTGGGACCCAAAGAGAGCAATTAACAGAGAAGGGGAAGGGGAGTGCATCCAACTCAATTTCAGTTCAGGTCATGATCTCAGGGTCACGGAATCGAGTCCCACATTTGGCTCTGTGCTCAGAGTGGAGCCTGCTTGGGGTTCTCTCCCTCTCCCTTCCCTCTCTCTCTCTTTCTCTCAAATAAATAAATAAATCTTAATAATAATAAAAAAAAACAAGGAAGGGAGAGGGGGGAGGGACTAACAGTGCTGAACACTTTCTATGTGCCAGTCACATCTTTAATTAATGTCCACAGCAAACCCCTGTGGTATCCTATTATATAGAAAAGGAAATTAAGACTCCCAGAGGTGAAGAGATGTCCTAGGTCATATAGCAACCAAGTGTGGAGACACTGTCTATCTCCGAGCTGATGATATTTGAACTCTTTCCACTATCACACAAACTGTGGCACTGAGAGTGTGCTGGGGAAACTGGATAGGGGAAAGGATTTTCGTAGGATATTTTGAAAATCGTCTTAATCCTGTTTAATTAGTGCATGTGATACCGGAATGCCTAAATGAAAATATAGTGGACCCTTAGATACCACAGATTTATTTGTGGGGATCTACTTCCATGCAGATATTTTTCAATAAATATATTGGAAACATTTTTGGAGACTTCGAACAATTTGAAAAAATTTGCAGACAAACCACATAGCCTAGAAATAGTGAAAAAAATATGAAAATATTAAGTATTATCATAAGAATACAGTATATAACACATACAACATACAAAATATGTGTTAATCGACTGTTTATATTACTGGTAAAGCTTCTGGTCAAATAGGCTAGTTAAGTTTTCGGGGAGCCAAGTTATATGTAGACTGCATGCGGGTAGGTGCTCCTAACCCTAACCCCTGTGTTGTTCAAAGGTCAACTGCATAGCATGGGATGGCTAAATTCTTGTAGTGGTTGAGGTGTAGGTGTCTGGAGAGCAAGCTACACAGCGCAGAGCCTTTAATTAACCAGTGAGAACCATGGACCCTCTTAGAAGCAACCCAAGGCTCAGAACTGGAGACCCACCCACTCCCACCCCAATCTTAAAGTGCAGAAGCAGTTTGACTGTCTTTTTGTTTAACAACTCCATTTGCAGGGTAAGCTGTTCGTTCTCTGCTTTCTGTTCATCCTTACGGCTAATTCTGCATATTGTCTTACCTTTCCCAGGGAAATTCTTCCCAATGAAAACACTCCGAATACAGTCAAAACTCTGAAATCTGACCTCTAAACAAAACATTTGCTATCAAGTCTTTTGCTAGATGATCCCGGAGTAGTGCTCAGTGGAATCTTGTGTATATATGCAGAAGAAAGCTAGGTGCATTTTACAGAAGCCAGGAATGGCTCCCGGTGCTTTCATCTGTCTACTGCTCCTTCGACTCTTTCACACACATTCCAGCCTCCTTGTCAGCCTGTTCAGAAGGAGCCAAGGTAGTTCTGCCAAGGAGGAAGAAAATGTTTGAGATCTAAGTGGTAGGAGGGAAAAGGCAGAACTGATTTGGAGCGCTGCTTTTGAAATTACTTGAATCGAAAAGTTGTGGGTTAATGGCAAAGCCTTCCTGTGGGTTCTGAAGCTCACTTTGAGGATTTCCACCAACTGATTTGTGGAATATGTGCCCAACTTTGTGCCAATAAGCCTTCCCAGTATGCGCGCACCACACGCCCAATGACCAATGCAGGCAAGCCACTAACATTCGTAGCCATGACCAGGACCCTCCGTGAAGAGTTTCAGAGTAGATTCTCTTCTGATTCAGCTTGCCAGCTCTAGACCAGTTCGAGTCCAGCTCCTGTTGTCTCAGCCCTTCCCACTGTCTTTGGTTAACTTTGCCTCCGTGGGTCTCCAAGAGTACATGCACTGCCCTCATGCCATCCCCTGGGGACCCAACCGTCAGCCCCGGTTCATATGGCAAGCGATCTGGTCTGACTTGTCCTGGGCTCATTGCCTACACCCATCATGCCAGCCAAACCAAAAT